TAAGTTATATATTCATACTTTGTTCAATGTCTCATAAATTTTTATTATGGATTGACTTTGTTGGGTAATGGGTTTTTATTTCCATTTCTTGGTATTCTTTTAGATATACAGGGTCTTTGTTCTAGTAGAGAGACATTTGGAATTTGATCCATTAGAAGTGTGCTATAGAGCTCGTTAAATCATATTCACAACATACTTATTTTAGGGTGAATTTTACTCCACCACTGAGGTAGTACATATCTAAGGACTCTGCTTAAACTGCTTGCAGGTCTTTCCACTCTAGTTGGGAAAACATGAACTATTCCTACACCACCTACTATTTCTCACGGTTCTTTCCCAATTTCAGTAGGGATAGGAGAAACGGAATACCATGTATGGATACCCTCATGGAATATATAGTGATTGGGAGGTCACATTTCAAAGGTCATGATTTGCAAGATGGGGCAATAGCACATGACATTAAATGGAGGTTCCATCACCCCTATAATCTACACTGAGCAGGATTGATAGAAAAAGAAAATGAATATTAAAGCAGCAAAGTAAATCGTTAACAGGTAAAACCACCTTGTCTGAGTGAACTAAAGTACTGTTCCAGGTTTCAATATATTTGAATGATCAACCAGTAGGGCTTGCGCTCTATATGCTAGACTGGGGATCCTCTGCCAAAGCACCCAACACCATAAAGTTATGAAAATCCTAAGAAACTGACACTGCCCCAACTCTCACTATAGACTAATGTGGTACACTGCTGAGAACACCAAGTCCTATCACCCAGTTGGAAAAGGTGTTGTCTACTGGAATTTACAATAGAATATTGCCCACCAAGATGGGTGAGTTACTTCCCACTCCTGCAAGAGGGGGAATTACTCAATCTCCCCTGGGATCCTATCGTCCTGCTGCAAGCTGCACCAGCTGAAACGCTTGATGCCTGGAATGGAACACGCACCATCACAAACGAGGAGAAGACAGGGGTCCTGATCTGGCATACTCATCCCCAGTCCATCTTCTCATGCCTAGACATATTTGGTTGGAAGGGGTGGTGGTGAAGGTTGCAGAGACTGTAATAACAAAGGCAATATTTAATGCAAATAGTTGCCAGGAAACCAATAGAAGAAAACACCTTTAACAGAAGATTAGGTGCTTAATAATGTAGAGGAGGTGGAACGCCTTAGGAGTAAACAAATCTGTATAATCTCTCCTCTATTTAAGATCACATTTCGCATCATGTTATGCTTAGTCAACTAGGATTTCTTTAAATTCAACTTTCAAATAGCAAATGAGTACTATTAAAGTTCTGGCTGGAAACTTCAGGTAAGAAATTTAAAAATCTCATGACAAATAATATATAAGCAATATATGATGTACATTTGGATTTATGTTTTCTTCTAAAAGAAAGGTCAATCATTACATGCTTGTAGGTTAACTTTTGGCTTGTTTAATCACTTTAGAAAAGTTTTCAGTTGTATTTTTACATAATTGGAGGGTTTTCCCCCCGGGTGTTATACTTCAGAATAATTTGATAGATCTTGAGGGAAGTGTACAACAAAGCAGTAAAGTTAAAGTTGTATACAACTGTGAGCTCACTGGCCTATCTATTACCTTGAATTTCTACCAGTGAAGAGTTAATTTGGTCCTTTAATAGGTAACACATGAAGTAAATACATAAAGGCAAATATGATTCTCACCAGTGACCACTACCGTCTTTAAGATAGCATGTGTAGATGAGCCAAGATATCATCCTTCGATGGGTATTTTATCTTCTTAATGTTGTGTACTGGATTTTGTATGTTTATATATTTTACATGTATGTATACATATCAAATAAGTTTTATGCAAAGTCAAATTTATTTATTTTAAAAAAGGGTATTAAAGTTTCTCTAAAGAAAATTCTGTTATAGGGGTGCCTGGGTGTCTCAGTCGGTTAAGTGTCTGGCTCTTGATTTCAGCTCAGGTCACGATCTCATGGTTCGTGAGAGGGAGCTGCCCTGTGTCCCGCTTTGCCCTGACAGTGTGCAGCCTGCTTGGGATTCTCTCTCTCTCCCTCTCTCTCTGTCCCTCCCACCCCCTACCCCATACGTGTCCTCTCTCTCTCTCTCTCAAAATAAACAAATAAGCATTAAAAAAAGAAAGAAAGAAAATTCTGTTGTAAAAGCAATAATCAATTGGGGTAATGTAAATACTATGTGTGCTCTCTTTTTGTGCAATTAATTGAAGCACATCTTTTATTATCCTCTCTATGATAAAACTATTTGTATACAGTAGCTTCTTTTAAATTACTTTAGCTTTCCTTTCAACTCATCTGATTTCATAAATATATTAGTCATATGTTTAGCTATAGTTTCCTATAATTTTTCTGGAAAGAGACTAGCTTTTCAGGGATCTTAAGGTCAGAATAATTAAAATCACATTTTTAGTTTTTGAAAAAAACTTATTTTACAACCTCTCTAAATCTTTATGGTTAATATAATTTCTTCACTTAGTTTTCTATTAAATTTAAGAACACAAATCTAAAATTTAACTTCAATAATTTGAGAAGTTTTCTTAATACTGTCCCATTAGTAAGATACTTTTTAAAAAATCAAAAAGTTAATTTCTGACATAATACAGGTCATTGCCTATCACTCATGTGCAGACACTTCAAGCTCCAAGATGAGCCTCAAATACCACATTTCTAATAAAAACTTCCCTCTCTTTACCCCTACCTCTAATTCCCAAAAAACAGAAAGCAAACTGTACAGAGCTCTGACACATTTGACCTGTGTCATTTCATCTGAAGGTATTCGTCGCTTTCTCTAAAGTTAGGAGAAGGAGAAGGAATTAAATGAGAGAGATAATAGATTTTAAATGTGTCTTTTATTCCAGGCTCTATAGTTGTAGTTTAATCGATATTATTTTATTTATTTAAACATATAACTTTATCTTATATGATGCTCATATCATTGCATAATTTATAGTATTTATTGAATAGTTATTCATTTATTATATATTAATAAACATTTTATTTATCTTATATTACTTAATATAAAAGTCTCTTAAATTGCCTTTCATTTCTACCTTACAGAGGAGAAAACTGAGTCTCATAAATGTTAAACAGGCCAAAATTCTTTGGCCTGATTCTAAAACCTAAATTCTTCTCATGATATCATGCTGACTCTAATATACTATGCCTATTTTTATTATAGTTACATCTGCGATTACCTTCACAGAGAGCATAAAATGGATATGAGATTATCTCCTTTATTCATCTGCCTTTCACTTAGCAGGGAGTTCTCTGTCTAGTAGCCACACAATAAACACAAATAAACTTAATAAAGGCTACAGTTTAATTGTTTAGAGCTGAATCTGATTCCCTGATAGTGAATAACATGAGTAAAATATCAGTGAATTGTGACCGATTGTTCATTCTAGTGAATCACGACAACTATTTTAAAGTATCCTGGCAATTAACTATGGATGAGGTTGACACCAGCAGGCAAAAATTTTGTGCATACCATAAAATCATAGTATACAGAGTCTTGAATTGAAATCTACTCCCAAGAACTGTACGATGGGTCTGCCAAACTCCGAATAGTACTTTGGAAAAGTTAGTAACTGCTTTAAAGAAGCAGCAAATTATCTGTGGTTATAGGGGAGTTCAGCAAAGACATCACTAAGAAACATAAGATTTCTAATTTCAATAGATTTATTAAAACAAAAATAAGTCATTTCTACTTATTCACAGATATATGCATACACATACATGTACACTTTTCATAGAGGTGATTTTCTTCAGATGATTTGTCCTACATTATCCAGTGTGGGCTGCACAAATTCATAATGTGTGAATTTGTGACACAAATTTATATTGTGTCAGCATGTTTTGGGCACTTTGTGGTTTACATGGGTAGGTTGCTTATACTTGATAAGGGGACATGATACATGCTGATAGGGCAATCTATCTTAGTGGTTTATACAATAGACTCTGGAAGCCAAAGAGCCTGAAGGCTGCTACTACCAGTTCTTTTCTTATTCTAGTATGTGAACTTGGCAAATTACTAAACTTCTCTGAGCAATGGTTCTTCCTTCTCTGATGGGAGAATATAGGATCAACTTCATTGAATCTTTTTTTAGTGAGAAATAAATGAGATTAACATATGTAAAACACTTTACACAATGTCTGACACACGGTGAGTGCTTAATTAATGCTAGCAATTATGAAAGGTTGAATGTTGATGTAAATTATTTATTACTCAGACCAGCCAACTAGCTTTCAAGCAGCACTTTCCATAAAAGCATGCTTGAGTTAGCATTCCTCTTCAAAGAGCTCCTATTGACTAGTAATGTTACCCATCATCTTTTGCATGTATACTTGTACACAGTTCATTCATTTACTTATAATTTTTTCTCAGTATTAACATAAAATATTTTCCTAAACATATTATCAAAGTAGCAATAAACATTATAATTACTCTATCTCCTTGTACTTCACATTTTTTCTAAGTATTCCCTTTGTAATAATCTTATCTATTAACAACCAGTAACTACTATAATAATGTTTCATTGTTGCTATCGATACTATATTGAATGTGTTAAATATTGGAAAACTGATAGCCTTAGCCTCTCCACATTTCTGAATAAGTTCTGCCCCAAACTGAGGCTTCAGCAGCCAGGCCTGAGGGTAGAGTTGATGTACACAACAGCTTCAAGCAATTTAACAGTAAGAATTTCACAATTATGAGATCCAATGAAAAAGTTAAAGGATCGAGTTTAAGAAAATGATCAGAGAGCAGGAATCATAACCCAAGCTAAAGCAACAGGTTGAGAGGTAAGACACATGTTACCCCAAGCCTATAATTATCATAAAATATGGTGCTACCATGAGGAAAACCATTTGGTAGAGAGAAGGCTCTTAAGGGTATCGTTTTGAATCAAAACTGAAATAATTTTTCTTTCTTTTTTGCTTGAAAAACAGAGAAATTCATTTGTCATATCTCATCAAATCTTCTACATCAAGCCACATCATGTTAAACAAGAACATTCTGCTGTTGTGTCTCCAGATTAGTCTCCTAGGAATCACTCTTGGTGGGAATGTTCTGATTTGGCCAATGGAAGGTAGTCATTGGCTGAACATTAAGATAATTATAGATGAGTTGATTGAAAAAGAGCATAATGTGACTGTTTTAGTTGCCTCTGGTGCACTTTTCATCACGCCAACCTCGACCCCATCTCTGACATTTGAAATATATAAGGTGGCCTTTGGCAAAGAAAGAATGGAAGGACTGATCAAGGACTTTGTTTTGACATGGATGGAAAAGAGGCCATCTCCTTCAACCATTTGGAGATTCTATCAAGATATAGCCAAAGTCATCAAGGACTTCCACATGATATCTAGAGAAATCTGTGATGGTGTTCTTAAAAACCAAAAGCTGATGGAAAAGCTGAAGAAAAGCAAATTTGAGGTCCTGATATCAGATCCAGTATTTCCTTGTGGTGATATAGTAGCTTTAAAGCTGGGAATTCCATTTATGTACTCCCTCAGGTTTTCTCCAGCCTCAACAGTGGAAAAGCATTGTGGGAAGGTACCATACCCTCCTTCCTATGTTCCTGCCACTTTATCAGAACTCACGGATCAGATGTCTTTCACTGACAGAATAAGAAATTTCATCTCCTACAGTCTACAGGACTACATGTTTAACACTCTTTGGAAATCATGGGATTCCTACTATAGTAAAGCTTTGGGTATGTAATATTTTTTTTATTATTATCTGAATTAGAACAGAGCTTTGTATCACCTCTTTACTTCCCTGTGGCTATTATTTTTCAATCCTACCTATTAATTACTATTAGTATCACTTGAGAGCAGGAAGGAAGATAAGTAACAATATGCTTTGTAACTATCATGGGTTTTCTAATTTATGGACTCAAAGATACCAACTAAATTCTTTTATGGGTAACATATAGCAACAAATATTTTAGTTTAAAAATAGGACTGAATTCTCATTTAGATATTGCACTGAAAACACATATTGCCTAGAAACTTCAGTGGTGTGTAGGGAAAACTGGAAGAGATTGTTTCCTACAAGTCCATTATTAACATAGAATGTGTGTGTGGGTGTGTGTGTGTGTGTGTTTAAAAACATACATTCATACAGATTATCTCTGATCATTGTTCATATATCTCTCACTGTTTACTAGGTACACCCTTAGGTAGGGAGGATACAACATAGATTAAGATGGAGTTCCTGGCTTCAAGAATTTAAGTCAAGCAGAGATGTCATACAAGAAAGAGAATGTTTATAATATGAACGATTAGGTAATGGAAATGTGTATAAAGAACAGAGAGGGCATAAAGGAGACGAACAGTATGTGACAGAAGAGAGTGACATTCTGAGAAACTAGAGTTGAGGTGATATACAAAGAAAAATTTAAACAGTGAATATGAATTTCCCTGGAAAATAAGTGTGGGGAAAGAAACTGTGCCCAATGTTGTGAGTCTTAAAATAGCACGTGTGCTGGGTATTACTGATGATTCATTATTTATGAAGGTCAAAGTGTAAGATGCATGTGAAAGAACCATGGAGATATCAGGATTGCAAAAAATGAATTAATCCAATAAATATTTTCAGAGCCTCTTGTATGTTATGCTAATCATTTGGTTTTTTATCTATTGAACAACTGGGAACTGTTAAAAGGGATGTATAGATTGCATCTTATATAAAATATCTAGATAGATGTGGACCCAGAGTGAGATGGTCTTAGGCTACAGGCTTCTGCGTGACTCCAGGAAAGATGTGGTAAGAGCATGTATGAATGAAGTAGCTTACCGGTGGAGAAGAATAATGTAGATGAAACTGTGTAGTAAGGCAATTAGGAAAGAAGGCTCTTGATAAACAATTTCTGGTTACAAGTGTGCGACCATGGAGAAGTAATTAATTCTCTTTACACCTGCATTTATTTATCCCATCTCTAACAGGGCTACTGCAAGGACTAAATTAGTCAACAATACAAGGATTTTACAAAAGTGTCTATGAGCTAGAACCATTCAATTTGTGTTAGCTGTGTTAGCTGTGAAATTAGTAAAAGCTAATGGCTAATTGGTAAGGCATGTTAAGAGGCGTGAGGAAGAGATTAAGATGGTTTCTTTTTTTAATGGAGGTTTAATTGACATATAACATATTGGTTTCAGGTGTACAATCTAATGATTCTCTCTAGATTTATATTTATATTTATATTTATATTATTTATATTTATATTTATTTAGAGAGAGATATTATATAGAGAGATATTATATAGAAAGATAATATATAT